CTACGTACGTAGAGAGAGAGAGAGAGAGAGAGAGAGAGAGAGGGAGATCAAATCCATGGAGGTTTTCCTGAACTTCTGTGATGAAGACACGGGAAAGGGGTTCACAGCCCATCTCCACAAAGCTCTCACTGATTCCGGTATCCCCACCTTCTTAGCACCAACACAACAACAACAACATTTACCCCATGATATACAGAGAGCCATTGGAGAGTGTGAGGTGTTTATTCCCGTCTTCTCCTCCAACTATACTTCCTCTGTATCCTGCCTTCACCAGCTTTCTTATTTACTGAGTTTACCAACGAGGAAGCCTATCTTTCCTGTGTTTTACGATGTGGAGGCTTGGCAAGTTCGGTGGCAAAAGGAGCCTTTCCAGAGAGCTTTTGTGGATCACAAAGATAAGAATGCCTTTGATGAGGAGACAGTGCAGAGGTGGAGAAATGCTTTCAATGAAGTTGCTGAGATTTGTGGTTGGGAAATGAAGAATTACAGGTATGACCAAAGGTCTTGGATTTCTTGAAAAATACATAAAAGACCTAACTCCCTCCCTCCCTAATGTTGCGATCAGGAACTCCATAGAAAGTAAGTATAAAGTGTAGACTATTTTCAGGTCCTCCAGTGATAGTCACCATTTATTTGGTTTTTAGTTTTTTACCTTTAAATAGGAACGAATTGACCATTTATTTTTTTCATTTAGTTACTCTTATAGATATCTAAAATGCAGCCTGATATAGCTTCATGTGCATGAAAATCCTTCTTTGTACTTAAATATATCATTCTTATTAACTAGGCCATTTTGTTGTTTGGGTAGGTTACATCTCTAGTATTTGATTATCTATTTATAGAAAGAGCCTGTTCATATTATTTTTTTTAATTGCCTAATGAGGAACGATATTTCTGTAGGACTGAAGCAGATTTGGTACGAGAAATTGTTGAGCATGTTTCTAAGAAGTTTGAGCTTCAAACACCATTGCATGTTGCTGATCATCCTATTGTTGGGCTCGATTCTCACATTGTTGATTTGATGGGACTTTTAAACATTGATACTAATGATGCTCGGATAATTGGGATCCATGGAATGGGTGGCATCGGTAAGACAACTCTTGCCAGGGTGGTATTTAATACAATATGTTCTAGGTTCCAAGGCAACTGTTTCCTCTCCGATGTTAGAGACTCTTCGAAAACAAAGGATGGAGTTATCAACTTACAGAAACAGCTTCTTATGGAACTGTTTAAGGAAGCAGATCCAAGAATATATGACGTTTATAGAGGTATCAATGTCATTAAGAAAAAAATTGGCTCTAAGAAAGTTCTAGTTATAATTGATGACGTCGATAACGTGAATCAGCTAGAAAATTTGGCTATTGACCCTAAATTGTATCATCAAGGAAGTAGGATCATGATCACTACAAGGGATGAGCATGTGTTTAATAAAAGAGTGGATAAGTGTAATATCTACAAGCTCGAGGGATTGGATGACAATGAATCTCTTAAGCTCTTCAGTTGGTGCGCATTTGGGAGGGATGAACCCGTGCAAGAATATGCCCATATCTCTAAGGATGTGTTATCCACTGCTAGTGGGCTTCCACTGACTCTTAAAGTGTTAGGAAGTTACTTATCAGATAAGACACTTGAAGAGTGGAAAGAGGCAGTAAAAAAATTGAGAACAATATCTGAAGAGGAAGTCATGCCAAAGCTGAGAATAAGTTTTGATGGTTTGGACGGAGAAACCAAACAAATATTTCTTGACATTGCATGCTTATTAATTGGATACGATAGAGATAGGGCAATTGAAATATGGAAGGGTTGTGGTTTTCCTGCTTTAAATTCTTTAAGGAAATTATTGCAACGGTCATTGATAAAGATTAACAAGATAAAGATTAATAAAACATGGAATAGTAGTTTGTGGATGCACGACCAACTTCGTGATATGGGGAGACATTTTGTTGAACAAGAAAACTTGGGTGATCCAGGAAGGCGTAGTAGGTTATGGTCTCAAGAAGACGTCATTGATGTGTTGAAGAATGGCAAGGTAAGACATTCCTAAACAAGCTTATTTTTCTCTTCAGGAAACTTATACAATGAATGAAGATGATATGATTAGGTACATTTGATTTTTAGCATTGCTCTACTTGGCTGACGTTTAGTTTTACTGTCAATTAGGGAACTCCAGAGGTTCGAGGCCTAGCCCTCGATTGGAACAAGCAGGGCCATAGTTGGAAACCTGATGCATTTAAATCAATGACCAATCTGAAGCTACTGCGCATTATTGGTGCATCCGTGAATGAGAGCCTCAAATGTCTTTCATCGGAATTAGTGTGGCTAGAATGGAAGGGACCTCCTTTAAAATACCTCTCAGATAGCTGTAGCTATGAAAAGCTTGTTGAACTTGACATCTCAAACAGCGATGCTATATTTGGCTTGTCGAACAACAACATGAAGCTGGTGTGAAACTTAACGTATATTTAAGATCATATTGTTTCAACAAGCCCTTTTCTTTTCTTGAAACCTATCATGGCTGTTATCCTCTCTACTAACCAAATCCTTTTGGACAGCTTTTCCCGAAGTTGAAGATTCTTCGTCTCATGCATTGCAAGAAGTTAGAGAGAATTCCTCACTGTTCTCTATACCCAAATTTAGTTCATTTGCAACTTCCTGGTTGCTCCAACCTCAAGGAACTGCCAGATTCGCTAGGCTCACTAGAAAACCTCAAGGAGTTGAATCTCGATTTTTGTTCAAACTTGGTGGAGATTCCTAAATCCATAGGCCTTTTACATAATTTAGTTCATTTGCAACTTACTCGTTGCTTCAACCTCAAGGAACTGCCAGATTCGCTAGGCTCACTAGCAAACCTCAAGGAGTTGAATCTTAATTGTTGTTCAAACTTGGTGGAGATTCCTAAATCCATAGGCCTTTTACATAATTTAGTTCATTTGCAACTTACTCATTGCTTCAACCTCAAGGAACTGCCAGATTCGCTAGGCTCACTAGCAAACCTCAAGGAGTTGGATCTGTCTGCGTGCGAGAGCCTCAGTAGACTCCCAACATCAATGGAAAGGATGAGGTCACTACGCCATCTAAGAATGGAGAGATGTGCTATAGCCACATTACCTGGTGATTTTTGGCATCTTTCTAACCTGGAAGAGTTGCGCATGGGCGATTACTTCTTCCGGGGGTTGATTCTCGGTGACATTGAAAAGTGGTCATCATTGAAAACGTTGGATCTAGGCATGATCAATTTACAGGGTCTACATAACAGCATGAGGGGCCTTTCTCAACTAGAAGACCTGTCTTTAGTACGGTGTTGCAAGCTGGCATCTATCCCTGAGCTCCCCACCAGTTTGAAATACCTGAATGTATCTGGATGCAAAAGTTTGCAAACAATTCCCAACCTCTCTCACCTTTCTCAACTTAAATACGTGAATGTTTCATACTGTAAGAAGCTATTAGCTATCGATCTTCCCACCAGTCTGAAAACTTTGAACGCTTCCAACTGCATATCTTTGGAAATTATACCCAACCTCTCTCACCTTTCTGAACTAATACGCTTGGATGTTTCACATTGTGAGAAGCTATCAGCTATGGAGGATCTTCCCACCACTTTGAAAATTTTGAAGGCTTCCAACTGGATGTCTTTGGAAAGTATACCGAACCTCTCTCACCTTTCTCAACTTCAAGAATTGGATGTTTCAGACTGTGAGAACCTATTAGCTATCGGCGATCTTCCCACCACTTTGAAAACTTTGAGAGCTTCCAACTCCATATCTTTGAAAAGTATACCTAACCTCTCTCACCTTTCTCAACTTATAGAATTTGATTTAAGGAACTGTGAGAGGATGACTAAGATGCAGGTTATCAGTGGATTGAAATCTTTGAGAAAACTGGACTTGAGCGGTTGCAGTCCTCTCGTTTGGAGAGGCCAAAATCTGGCGAAGGTAAGTTACTTTGCAAGAAAATTCATGCCAGTTGGTTATTGAGTTGCCTTTATTTTATTGACTGCTAATTTCCATTTTGTTTTCATTGTGCCTATCTATTTATAGGAAATATTTACAAGCTTAGACTACTTGTGTGTTCCTGGGAGCAAGGTTCCAAATTGGTTCGCATTTAAATGCACGCCAAGATACACCTGGAATTCAGATGGGACAATGCATCAACAAGCATCGTGCACACTGTCGAGGCCTTCACATGCATGCCTTCATAACAGAAAAATGATGCTGTGCCTTGTTGTTTATGTCCATCACATTACTTGCACTAGCAATGTCTATCGGGTTGACTTATTGTTCTCAAGGGAAGGCGAAGTATCAAATAAAATTTCATTACCATTTTATCCAGGCACCTTCACAACCCACCAGAAAGAAATTCGTTTTGACCGTTTTCCATTGAATGATGCGGATCAAATTGAAGTCGTGAATGACTCGAGACATTGCAAGCATCAAGATGTAAACATGGACGGCTTGTGTGCATTGTCGAGATTTCCCTGCATCGAGTTGAAGAAAGTAGGGATCCATTTTATATGATGAAGATACTTAGGATTCTACGGAAGAAAAACTGGCCGACTTCTTCAATTCATTGTATGTTGAATGACAATTTGCAGCCTCGCTATCTCTTAAGGTACCAATAATAACACATTCATTTCATATTGCTGAACTGTTTTTTATTTTCCTTGTAACGAATGGATTCACTAGACTAGACTGCCTTTTCATCCAATGATTTTGAAGAAAAGTTAGATTCATTTGCCTCATTTATAGCAAATCTTAAGCAGCATAGCCTGATTTATATTTAAATCATAAATTCCCCAACTTATACAAAATTTACGGCGCTCCAATTACGGCGCACCTCCAAAATTTATCATAACATGTAATTTTGGTGAAAAAATTCTTAAGATTATCTCAAAATCTATTTTTATATTTAATCATAAAATTTTGAACTAAAAAAATGGTTAAAATCAAATAGATCTATAAAGATATGAAAGTCTTAAAAATGGACTGTCTAGAGAATGTATTGCAAGATGTACTATTTTTATTTCTGGGGATCAATTTTATTTTATTTTTCATATTGATACATCTCCATGTCGAGATGATCAATTAAAGGATTTTTCAACAATTAAAACAACATTTTCCGATGGAATTTTGAGGTGCATCTGTAATCCTACATTTTAAGGTTGCAACCTTATATAAAATTTTTCCTATACAATATTATAAAGCTCTTATGGGACTCGCTCTCTCTCCTTTCTACATGCTATTGTTTTTCTAGGTAGAGGAAAAGATGAAGTTGCCACATGTTCAGGAGAACGTGAGCTGTTGCTTTTCTGATGCTTTTTGTTATTTCCTTGTTTGATTGAGGTAATGTAGTTGAGAAATTGAGGAGTAATTACAGTGAAACCAAATCTCGGTTTGAAAGGATCATCTTATTCTGTTGGTCTATTAGATCATAACATCTTACCTTGTTGCAGAATGATAGCTCCACTGCCCTTTCATGTTTCTTTCTTTTTTTTCTTTTTTTCATTTTTTTTTTTTGGGACAATAAGTGCCCTTTCAGGCTCATTATGCATTTATGTTCACAACTCTTCAACTTCAGAGACAAGTTTTGAAATCCTGACTTGGTACAAAACTTTCATAAATAGGGAAGGTACCACCTTCTTTGAGCACTTGATAAACCCACAAAGCAAAGAAACTTTAGAGAGAGAGAGTCATTTGCTTCTTATATCGAGAGAGAGTACTTCATTTACTTTAAATTGAGGGAGAGAGAGAGAGAGTTGTTGATCTCCTTTATATTGCTGGTCTTTCGAATAGCCTTGATCCTTTTTTCAGGCTTATCCTCCTTGTGGGAAGTTTCCTCCTGTTGATGGATAGTTTGCTCTCTCTATTATTCTTCTCATCTTTTTGACATATATGATCTTTCCACTAATGTTTAGCCCAAAAGAATTGACTTATAATGGGCTTCTTGATCTCTCGTATGATTCATGTTGAAATTTATGGCGGAGGCATGTTTAGTTGTTGGTTTGTGGTAAGAATCACTTGCATCTAAGTTTTGAGTTTGTTAGGGAGAAGAGTGGTTTACCACTTATTCAGAGATTGTAACAGAGGTTCCAAAATCCAAACTACTAAGGAATGAATGGTAATGTCTTCAATTTGTGTAATATTTTGGGAGCAAGAGAGAACCAATATCTATCTTGTAAGGTCTAAACAGGGCAACGTCATGAAGTAAATCTAAAATCCAAACGTTGATGAGAGCGAGAGAGACTGGTCTTCATTCCACAAGGCCATGTTGGAAAATTGTCTCATGGGGGCTGGATCCATTTCTACAATATGCGGTCCACAGGTATAAAGCATCATTCAGAGATGGATGCAAATAGGCGATCCATCTAAAAACAAAATAAGTGCAAATGTTTTTTTAATATAATTATTAAATCGAGCCCATTTCATCAAAGGATAACCTATTAGAATCTTTATTGGGTAGTTTTTTTATGTTCAAGTAACATAGGTTTTTTTCAACTCAACCGATTGACTTAGTTCATAACATTCAATTTGGTATTCGATTGACCTAGTTTGTAAAGATCAATTTGATATCAGCAAAGCAAATGTTGTGTGTTTTGCTTAATATCGTTTAGGAAGGACTACACTCTTTTTTTATTATATCAAAATGTTTTATTACAAATACATCTTTAATGACAACACTTTTAAATGCACCTTGTACTTGTGCAATATAAGGTTGACATCTTATATAAACTTTTTTAAGGCTAAATAGGTCGTTGTTTATTCATTTAAATGTTATGGTTTTTGTACGTCTGATGAACCATGGTATTCTTGTGAGTCCGCACTTTATTCTTGAGCGTATTTCCAACTTTGCGCACAAAATTTCACAGGTCTCTATTCTTTACTATCAACGCCTATGAATCTGAAGAACACTGAAATGTAAATGTTGACATTGTGCGTTACAGATTTCTATTTTACCATTCAATTTAGTTTCTTCGTGAAGCATTGGAACTTTCATCGTCTTTGGAGCTGCATTTATTTAACGTATTTGCCAAACAACTTCACACTATTGAAATAAACCTCCAAAGAAAATTCAAAGGCACTCTTTTTTTTCTTTGAACTTTAACCATGAAAAAAAATCAAAAAAATTATGTTGTGGACAATCTTTGTAGCTCTAGGAACCTGATGGAGACTTAAAATAGTGCATCGTTTTTGCTACAATTGGAGAACTGCGATTTTCAACCTAATGCAATGGATTTGAGTAATAAAAGTTATGAGTTGGCTTAGAAATCATGGTATAAATAACTATATTTTGCTCTTAGTCAGGGAATTAGGGGCGTTTGGAATTCATACCTTAACCACAACATACAGAGTAGAGACAAAGCTTAACACTTAAACTTTCTAAACTATCAAAAGTAATGTTTGAAGTTTAAGTTCGAAAGAAAGCTTCCCACTCCATGATCCAATACCTGGTTGGATTCGATTCCAAGGTTTTGGCACTATGAAAAGGGTGGTCCGGCTGTAGATGTTATTGGATTCCAGGGCTCCGACACTATGTAAACGGCGGTTCGGCAGTACTTAGTTTCCGTTCGATAGTTGTCTTAGGGCGGTTCGGCACTTGTGTGCTCTGGTAATGTGATAGTGTGCTCTGGTAATGTGTTACTGGGTCCAAAAGTCAACGTCAAATTTGGCGAAAATGATTTTTGTGTACGGGGAGGGCATTTTCGTATAAAGAAATGAACTTTTGTCCTTAGGGGTATTTGCAATGAAAGTTTATTTCGAAAAAAAAGTGAGAGAAAAAGTTAGGTTGGGAGTAAGTTGCATAAAAAATGTGATGTTGGGAGTTTTTTTGTAATTTTTCCAAAAGAAAAAAAACGAATTCAACCCCTAAACGTAGCTAGGTTGAAATATATATCAACTGTTCACATATGTAGGACACTTGCATCTCTTTTGATGCAACAAGTTAAAAAACAGTTAGATTTTTCCTGTCATAGTAGGGGTTTCCGACACCAAAACTATAGTTTTTTTATGAGATTTTTTGGGGGTGTGACTTTATCCTTTATTTTTTGCAATGCCTAGCCTTGTATAAACCACAACCTATTATCTATCCAATTGTCTTTACAAAGTACGGGAATAGAGTAGTCGAAATATGTCAAGTCACACTTATACTCTGTTTTTTTTAGGTAATTCAGTGGAAAAGATTGACCCGTACGCCCTTTTTTCAGATAGATATGTCACGTTAAATCATGAAAAGAGACTTCCATTAATACTAAAACAATGTTTATCATCAAAGTTAATTACTTAAACTTCCATTAATATGAAGACATTGGTCATTGATGTTTCTATCAACAACGTTAATCAATCAAGTACAAGATTTCGAATGCATTAGCATTTTATTGGCTGCTCTAATAACAAGGGTTCAACAATTTTGTTTTATTAGTTTCCATGTGTCATTATTATCTCTCGAAGGTCACATTCAATCCCTAACTTAATCAACTTGATGCCTTCAATTTGTTATGAAAATAAGTTACCTTCCATCTCTTTCTCTCTCTTTGGTTACAAAGAGGTTACAAATATCGTTAGCCATCCGATTTCACATTGGATAGGGTGTATTACAAAGTTTTGATATTTTTTTTTTTTAATTTTGAATTTAGTCAATGTTGCACTCACATCCACCTAATTTGATATTCGATAGACAATAATGATTTTGACCTTCTTATATTAAAAACAAATAGTTTCTTTGTATTTTTTTAAGAGTAATGATACTATGAGACTCTCCCACACCTATGTGAGTAGGACGTCAAAGGATCACCATTAAATTTTGATACAGATCTTTAGATAAATTATCAATAAACTCATT